TCCTAACTTGTCACCAAAATTAAAAAGGTTGTTTCCACTAGTCAGGAATGGACTTTTCCATCTGCCTCATGTCCGAAAACATTTCCGGAAAAATACGGACATTTTGTGTAATCAGCCCTGTCCAATATTTAATTAAAAAGATTCCCCTTTTTCAAGAATGAATTTTTCCAGTGAATTAAAAAAAGAAGAAGCATCAGTAAAAAAACAATAATTTTTGCCATACCATGGTATGACAAATATATTAGATAAATAATACTTCCTAGATGTTTAGATACAACAACACTAAAAATTGAATCACCAGTGATGAAAAGTTACAGGTTCTGAAATTGTTACTAATACTTCAAACACTGTAAGGATTACAGCCGATATTACTGGACAGGTGTAAAGGTGAAAAAATCATTTGTTTTGATGCCTGCTGAGGTGACATCACTTTTTAAACAATCTTTAAGGCTTTCTTCAGTAGATTACTCTGCAACTAGAGTTCCAGACTTAGGCCATCCATAATTATACATTGTATGCTGTACAGTAAACACATAACAACAAAACACTCTTCCCCTGTTTTTGTTAGCACAATCATTCATAGAATCAAAGTTGGAACAACCATTCAAGTGAAACATTGCAAAATACTACCATGACGCCATCAATAATAAAAAAGATACAAATTCTGAAATAGTTATTATCACGATTTTTAAGATTTCAAACTACAACTCTTTTTAACACTCAACAGTACACCTTCCCGGACTGATTAATCTGTACACCTGGGGTCCGCGCGGACCCCAGAACAGTTTTTGCTAATTTTTAGAAATTATCAACATGCTACCAGCTCAATTGTTTTGCAAACTGATGTGGGAACCTCTGTGTCCACATTACATACAAAAATCATACATTTTGAACTTTTTCTATTTTTTGGTGAAGAAAAGAAGACAAGAAGAAATACCCGATTTTTACACCCATTTCAGACTGAAGGGGCTTTTGAGGCCCAACTTTGATCTCAGATAGCGGCTAAACGGCTTGCGCTAGAAGTATCAAATTTGGAGACCTTTCCTAAAATGTCTCTGGAAAAATGTTCATATTAGTTTAAAACTAGTAAGTTGATGTTTTTTTGTGTTGCCATGGCAACGGGTTTCTAGCAGGCAGTTTTTTTGAAAATAGAAGTAATTTTGGTTTAAACATAAAAATTTTCTGAGTTTTATATTAAATTACACTTCTTTTCCAACATTAATTACATCTTACATAATTAAATATAAGTAAAATCATTTAATATGCTTAGAATATGCTAATTTGATGACGTCATTGGTCAAAATCCAATATGGCGGACTATATTATTAGCTCTGACGTCATATGACGTCATAATTACACCAAAGTTATTAAAATTTAATTCTATTACTACACCATTCTCTGAAAACTTGGTAGACATACGATGAATGCATAAAAACATATAAAAACGAAAATAAGGTAATGTATAAGAACGCCAGNCAGAAATTACTAGTAATTAACAGATTTACTACTAACTTTAAAAAAGTAAACTAACATCACATCTCATCACAGTCACCTCCAAATAGAAGTCCATTTTAGCAAAAAATGTCAAAAAGTAACTAATACTGACATATCATCAGGTTAAAAGAGGAAAATAGCCCTCAGATCATGAAAGTGAATGGCGCTTACACAAACAGTCAAAAGACTAAATTTTCAATAAACAAAGAAGGCCTCAAACAAAGTTCTTCAAAATACATGTACGTGTAGCAAAAACATAATTGCAGACCTAACATGAAGTTAAATGAGGCTTGGCAGAAAACAATATCACGTCATTACAAAAAAAGATCATTTGCTCAGAAATTAATTACATGAACACGTATTCAATTTACAATGTCGTTAAAGACAAGCTGTCGGTTTCGTAAAGTTTGCGTTGTCGCCTCTACAAAATGAGGCTTAGTTGTAGATTGAAGGCCAGGAGGTATACCCCCCCCCCTGCTTCAGGGGACCATAGCGAAACGTTTTCATCCTGGAAGGACAAACTGCCCCCTGTCTGTCTGCGGGATGGCGTGGTGTTGGTGTCGGTTGTGATCGCAGTCAGGCCGGAACGGCGTGCTGGGCGCGGGGTGCACCCCGGGCGGGAGTGCAGCGGGGCCGGCCTGGGTCGTCGGAGCCTGCCGGGCGCTTTAACACAGCACCCTCGCCTTTAGATCTGAGCCTGGGTGTGCAGTCTGCCTGTTTGCCTCCAGCCTGGCCTGCAGGACATGGAAAAACGAAAATCTAAGTTAAAAGTCGAAGGCATTTTTGAATTTCATTTGAAGTTACCTGTACATGTACTAGACGTTTTATAAACATTTCGAGGAGAAGTCATTTATCATTTTTTAACGAATGTTTTTAACGTCAGACAGCAACAATTTTGTCCAGATGAAAAGGCTCCATTCATCAAGCATCAACGTCTACTTGTTTCTTTTCATTGTAATCATGGGAACAATACAAACACAACATTTCCCTCGGTAATGAAAACAATTCAAATTGTCAAGAGCCTTGTCGGCTTTCGTATGCAAAGATATACATTTGCATAGACTCACCCTCTTCTGTGTGACTGCAGTCGCTTTTCTTTCTTTCTTTTATGAGCTCTCAGACAGCCTGGCGATAAAGTTTCTTCAAATCGTCTCAAAGTACCCCAAATCCGCGCCTGAAAAAAATACATATGTTCTGAGCAACATACAAACTATATCGATGTACTTCTAAGTAGAAATAATAAACTATGTTATTAATCAGTAAAAAAATAGTGTACACTTCTTGCCAAAATAAATATTTCTGCCGTAGGCACAACTTAGCCAAGGTTTTTAAACAACATGTTTAATATATATGTAACGATAGTGCCGTATATATAATAGTATCCTTGTTTTAGCTTACCCTTCCTCCTGTCGGTTTCCTGGTTCGTTGCGGTGTTGTCGGCAAATTGTCGGCCCGTGTAGTAGAGTCATTTCTTCCGTTGCGAAAACGAAGTAACAGAACGGAATGTTTGACGCCATTTTAGTTCAGGAACATACTAGTAATCTTTGCAAGCCGAGACAAACGTGTTTTGAAAAAGCAAACCGTCGTTGTGACAAAGCAAGATTCAAACGACCCACCAAAACAAAGCATCGCGTCTCTTATTGGCTGGTCCCGGCGAGAGCGAGATAGGATTGGTCGTCAGTCATATAATCACGTGATCGCGTTCAATACTACAACCATCTTGTTTTTATATTATTTAT